AAAAGGGGGGGGGGGGGTGGGGTTCTTTGTAGAGTGCCAGCCATACAGACGCGTTCATCCCCATTTTCCACACGTGAAAAGCGTGGTTCTAACTGGTGATGTGGACATGTGGTATTTTGGGGTGCATTGTTCATTGGAAGTGCCTCTTTCTCTTTGTTTCTTTAGGTTGAGAGGCCATTTGAGAAGTTCGCACGTGGGGAGGTGGAGGGGTCTAGACTTTTGTTGGCGCTTTTCTTTTGTTTTGTTGATTGTTGTTGGATATGCGGATATGGTATGGTAGAGTATGGTATGGAACTTGTGATTGAGTCAATTGATTACCATCTTTTAATATCAATGATTCGTACTCGTCTGGTAACTTAGAAACTCTAACTCATCTATCTATTCCATAGAAAGACAAGCCTATTTCTCTCACCGCTTCGATGGTCCAACGACAACTACTTGTACTTACACATCCACCAGTAGCATCTCTACACCGCCTCCCCAACCAACACCTGGTCAAAGTAAACCAAACTAAACTAAACTCAACTGAACTAAAATCCAAGCATGACCTCCTCTCTACACAAACCATCCAAAGAATTTGCTTGAAGCCTACCTAGTACGTACCATATCTCTAACACCCTACATTTCCAATTACACAAACATAGATCAAGCTCACGCCATCACAACCTAAAAGAGAGACTCTATCCCAACCTCGCTCGTCCACGAGGCTAGCTAGACCATAGTCCACGAGACGACCTATGAATAACAACGGTGGATACACGCTCTCTAGGATCTTATAAGTTCCAAACTCAAACCCCTAGATATTATGAGATGACTTTTCGGGTATAGATATATCCGGTAGGGGCTGGGTAGAAGAGACTTTTTTTAGTTGTGTGGAAGGGAGTCTGTCTAGCGTGCGTTAAAGAATCTGATATCTGGTCTACTGAAGCAGTACGAGGTATTCTTATTACAAGTATCCGGAAAAAGGAAGTGAGAAAATAAGATGCGTAAAGAGAGACCTAGAAGCGTAAGGAGGAAATCTGAACATACAGTACTATTAGTAATCCCGAGAATCCACAGCTAGCTCTTGTTTTTGAACAGATGAATATCAAGTGTACTAATCCATCATTATCCTCCACAATAGGACATGTAATAATATAGTCTGTACTGTTCTATCTTACTATACATTACTCTATGTACCTACCCGTTACACCTTACCGACGGACCCCTAGAGCATTCATCCTCCAAAGACAGAAATAGAGCCAGAAGAAAACAGAAGGAAAGTAAACCAAACCAAATTGACCCACAAAAAGCGAATAACTAGAATAGGGAGCCAAACTCTGGTTATTCCTGAGCAATAGAAACCCTAGCAGAAAAGGAAAACAACAAGAATGCAGCTATATTCTTACCTGGTAGGCGACGAACTGAAAAGAAAAGAAAAATCACCTTTCAAAAAGACAAAACCTTCAAGAGCATCCATCCATCCACCCATCGCATTCGCTCTCTAACAAGAACCCACGAAAGAGATACACTAGCAGATTCCACAAACAAAGAATCTCCCAGCAAGAAGGTCCAAGAGAGATTTGCATTGCAAGGGACGGAAGGGTATAGTACTCTATCTCCAATACCCAATCCCCAATCCCCTCCTTCCCCCTCGTGGAAGGACCCTGAAAAAGCCCATGCCCTTCGCGTGTATGTATGTATGTACTATATGTAACTCGTCCACCCCACATCGCACCCACGTGGGGTTTCCTTCACCAAATCCTGACCTGGCCTGGTAGGTTGACTGACAGCTTGGATGATGTCCTGTCCTTCCCTTCGTACCTCTATGTACTGTACCTCGATGGGATGGTTGAGTGACGGATGGATGGATGGATGGATGGATGGGGCTTTGATTACAATCGGGTCTGTGATTTTGGGGTCTTGCCTTGTCTTGTCTTGTCTTGCGTGCCTTACCTGGTGTTTTTACATGGGAGTCAGATAGGGAGTGTAACATTACATGTTCCCAAGTATCGCTCGCTTGCGAACAGAGAGACAGGCAGGAGGGGAAGGAAGGAGTCCATGTGGATGGATGTATGGGATGGGATGGGATGGGTGGGAATGCTTGTATTCCCACGGCTTGTATTCCCACGACGGACGGACCATTCTGCAGTTCCTGGAAAAGGAGGATGGGAGGTAGATACCTACTACTGTACCATGTATTCATTGGGACATTGATCGCCGACCTCGTTCTTTGCCTGGCACGCCTGGCCTGGGTCAGGTTGGGGAAGGGGGATGGGATGGGATGGTATGTATCCATCCCTACCAATCTAAGCGTTAACGACAAAGGGATATCCGATGATTTCTATTCCCAACTCCAGAGGGAATATGTAAAGTGTAAAATCAAAGAATCCAACCCCTCTAACCAAAGCCTCGAGACCTCTTCATCCTACGTCTTGTGTTTTCCAAGAAGTTCTCATACCTAGTCGTCAGAGACCAGAATGACGACATTCGTACTACCAAAACCCACAAACCCATATCCGTACACATAGAGTATGTACCAACCACCAAGGATCAACGTACCGATCTCCCAAAATAGGTGATTTTTATGACCAAGGTACAGTACAGTACAGTACACCGAGAATCCCAAGTTCGATGATTCAGAGATCCCCCGTTACGAGGACTTGACTTGACTTACTCTATGGGGATACCCCACACCGCCTTCCCAGCTCCCTCAACCCGGAAGACTCAATCTGATTCAGGAACTGGACTGGATTTGAGGACGGATTGGAATTACTGATGGTACAGATGGTACAGATGATACGTACTCTACCTCGTGGGATTTTCTCGTGGGGGTACGGTACGAGGACTCCGGTGGTCCCATCTATTGGTACGGAAGTACCCCCATCCCATCTCATCCCGTCCCAATCCATACCTACCGTGCAAGAAAGACGGACATTAATTCTTCCATTGAGTAACATATCCATTCTCATCCCTTTCCCTCAATAAAAAATATAAAAAATAAAATAATGATCCATGAAGGAAACCCCCACATGCAGAAAGAGATCCAGGCGAAGGATTCCCATCAAATCTTCCAAGGATCTCATCATGTGTTTTTCAGGGATATCGCACGAACAAGGAAATGGAAAAGGGAAGGGGAAAGGGGGAGGCGGTTCTGGATCCGGAATGTTGGAAATGGCCTTGCCATCATGCGATGCGGATTGGGGACCTTCCATTTCCAGCAACCTGGGAGCGCCCGAGAAATCGAATTCGAGGGTGCGATACGAATACTGGTAGCTCATCATGGATGATGGATGAAGCCAACGCCGCTGGATTGGTAGGCGGGTTCGTGGGACGATTTGGGGGGGCGTGATCTCCATACTGATGTGATGGATGGTCTTTTGGGTCCATGGGATTCCTTTTTTTTCCCAATTCGTTTTTGGCCTCGGCGATCGTTGCTCCTCGTCGTTTTGGGCTGGAGGTAGTTACTTAGTTGGGTGGAAACGGAAAGTTACGATCTACAATTCATCATGTGGGTTGAAGAAAGAAAAAGAGGCGCTGAAGCCTGAAGAGATTCAGCATGAACGCTGCAAATTCATGAGGGGATTGGCTAAGCGGGGCTTGATCACGGGCGCGGGGTCGAGGGGCTGGATGAGGGGATTCGGACCCCTC